TGTGTGTGTGTGTGTGTGTGTGTGTGTGTGTGTGTGTGTGGTGCTAGGGATTGAACCCAGGGCCTTGTGCATGTGAGGGAAGCTCACTTTTTATTTTTGATTCAGAAGCTCACCAAGCTGCGGAGGCTGGCCTCGAACTTGTGATCTTCCTGTCTCAGCCCCTGGAGTAGCTGGGACCACAAACAAGTGCCCCTGCATCTGGCTGACCAGGGATCCTTTCAAAGATCCGGAATCTTGTCACTTGCCTGCTTAAAACCCTCTAGGCTTTAAAATAAAAGTTAAGTCCTTCCTATCCATTGTGGTAGGCTGAATAATGGCCACCCAAAGATATTCCATAGCCTCATCCTGGAATCTGTAAAGAAAAAGGGGGGTGGGGGAGTTGTGGCTCAGTTGGTAGAGCGCTTGCCTGGCATGTGTGAGGCACTGGGTTCGACCCTCAGCACCACATCTAAGTCAATAAATAAAGGTCCAACAACAACTAAGAAAGTAAAAAATAATAATAATAAAAGATAAAGGGGGCTGGGGGGTGGGGTGAACACCTGTAATCCTAGCAGCTCAGGAGGCTGAGTCAGGAGGATAGTAAATTCAAGGGATGTGGCTCAGTGGTTAAGTGCCCCTGGGTTCAATCCCTGGTACCAAGAAAAAAAAAGAAAAAGAAAGAAAAAGAAAAGAAAGATAGAAAGTAAAAAACAAAAAGGGTCCCAGGTGGAGGGGACTGAGGTGGGAGGACAGGCAGGTGTCAAGGAAAATAAAGGGAAGATATGGAGTCTTGCTGGGCATGGTGGCAGACACCTGCAATCTCAGCAACTCAAGTAGAGGCAGAGGCAGGAGGATTACAAATTTGAGGCTAGTCTGGGCAATTTAGTGAAACCTTTTCTCAAATTAAAAATAAAAAGGGTTRGGGATATAGCTCCTTGGTTAAGTGCCCCAGGTTTCAATCCCTATTATCCCCCTGCCCCCCCAAAAAAGAGTAGGGGAGGATAAGGATGTAGCCAAGGGCTACAGTGCTTGCCTAACATATGTGAGGCCCTGGGTTYAATCCCCAGTACTGCAAGATTATTCTGGATTCTTTGAGTTGACCCTAATTCAACCCCAAGTATCCATATAAGAGACTGAAGAGGAAGGTATAACATGATCTTGGAGGAAGAGACAGGGGTGGAGGAAGCATGACCAGAGGACTCCGTGATTTGATTTTGGCTCCATGAAACTGATTTCAAATAGTTGGCCTCCAGAAGTATGAGAGAACAAATTTCTGCTGGGTTTTGTTGGTTTCTTTTGCAGAACTGGGGACTGACCCAGAGCCTCACACCTGCTGGTCAAGAACACTATCAATGAGCTATCTCCCAGCCCTTTCAATTTTATTTTATTTTATTTTTTAAAAAATATTATTTATTTTTAGTTTTTCTGCAGACACAACATCTTTGTTTGTATGTGGTGCTGAGGTTCGAACCCGGGCCACACATGCGCTACCGCTTGAGCCACATCCCCAGCCTCGCCCTTTCAATTTTACTTTGTGACTGTGTCTCACTAAATTGCCCAGGTTGGCCTTGAACTTGGAATTCTCTTGCCTCAGCCTCCCCAGTAGCTGGGATTACAGGTGAGCACCACCACATCCAGCTTGATTTTTTTTTTCTTTTTTTTTGGTACCAGGTATTGAACTCAGGGACACTTAACTACTGAGCCACATTCCCGGCCCTTTTTTAAAATTTTATTTAGAGACACAGTCTTGCTGAGTTGCTTTGGGTCTCCCTAAATTGCTGAGGCTGGCTTTGAACTCCTGGTCCTCCTGCCTCAGCCTCCTGAGCCTCTGGGATCACAGGTGAGTACCACACCATGCTGGGTTTAAATTTGTTGTTTTAAATCACTTAGTTTGTGATAACTTGTCATAGCAGCCAGAGGTCACTAGCATAATTATCTAGAGGGCCCTGCCTGGTCTGGCTTCTGCCCAGCAGGGCCAGTGTCAACCTTGTTGACTGGGCCCAGCCCCTAAGGCCTCAGGCTTCTTTCTGTTCTTCAGGCTAACTGGGTGCAGTCTGGGGGCTCTTGCACCAAGCTCCTCCCACAGAGCTTTCAAGGGCCCCTTCTCATGGCTCAAGTCTTTGCACAAATGGCACCTCCTTGGACAGGTCTTCCTTTAAAAAATCTCCTCGGGGTCCCTGTCATATTCTCTGCTTAAGCCACAGCATTCTTCTCTATCTATCTGAAATTAGTTTTTCTTCCTTCTCTCTCTCTCTCTCTCTCTCTCTCTCTCTCTCTCTCTCTCTCTCTCTCTCTCTCTCTCTCCCTTGTCACTCTTACTAGAAAGTAGGCCCCAGGAGACCTTGTCTGGCTTGTTCCCTGCTGTGTCCCCAGGGCCTGGGATAGGGCCAGACATAGAGTTGCTGCTAGGTGCCAGGCAAACGTGGATCGATAAATAAACGCGAAGTATCTGTGCAAACACCTGTGAACTGAGGCGCGTGAGAGCTTGGGGTGCACAGGGAGCAATGAATCAGAAACCCCAACATCAACTCCCGTCTTCTTCTAAGTGATTCCTCCACCCCCAGCTCAGTATTTCATTTCTCCCCCACGACTGCCCTGTGTGTCGCAGGCCCTGCCTGCCTCTGGTTGACAGACGAGGAAATGGAAACTCAGCCATCTGCCGAGTTTCCTAGCGGTGTTTGGAAGTGAACACTGCATCAAGACATAAAAGGCACACCCCCTTCTCCTGCCCAGTTTGCCCAGACACCGCCCCAGTACGCGGTCGCGCAGGAGATCTGCTCGGTGTCCAGAGAGACGCWGGAATTCTCTGGAGGACACACAGAACCCTAGAAGCAGAGGGGGGAGTGGTCCACGCGGAGAGCTGCGTCGCCCGGCCGTTGGCCAGGAGGACACTGGGGAGCAAAGCCGCGAGATAAATGCGCAGCTGTCCGTGCTGCGAATCTCGCGGACTCCGACCTCAGTTTCCCACGATGGCTGCAAAGGAACTGGGGCGCTGGCCGGGCCGCGGCGAGCTGAGGGTTAAGGGGGCGGGTCCGGCGGCGGGGGCGGGTCCCGGCTCGGCCGCACCTGGCGGCTCCTGCTCCCTCCCGACGCCTCGCGCAGCGCCGGCAGCCGCAGGGGAGCCGAGCCCCGGAGCAGCGGCACCCACTGCGGGAGGGCGGCGACCGCGGCCGGGGCCACCTCGGGAGGCGACATGGCCGAGTTCCCGTCGAAAGTGAGCACGCGGACCAGCAGCCCCGCGCAGGGCGCTGGCGCCTCGGTCTCGGCGCTGCGCCCGGATCTGGGCTTCGTGCGCTCCATCCTCGGGGTGCTCATGCTGCTGCAGCTGGTGAGCGCGCCGGCCCAGGGGTTGGGGGGTCCCGTCCCGGCCGCCGGGACTCGCGAGCGGCGCCACCTCTTCGCTCCGGGTGCGACCCCAGCCAGGCTCCCGCGAACCGACGCGCAGTGCCTGCTCCCTGGGCGCCTCCAAGGACCGACCCCCGGTATCACCCTGGAACCSTCTCGTCGCGGGACGCCTCCGTGGCCATGCCTGCGAGCAAGTGCACGGTGCGCCCAAGTTCAGGGTGCTCACGCCTCAGCGCCCAGCAGCCCCGCCCCAGGTGGTCCCCAGGGCCACACCCGAGCGCCCACAGAACCTGCGATCGCCGCGCACCACTCTCTCTCCTTGCGTTGTCTGCTCTCTTCTTCCCTGCCCCCACTCTGTCAGGACAGTGCCCACAGCCCTCCAAGGGACCCACGTTGAGTGGGCAAAGTCCACTCTCGGCCCCCTGCTGCCCAGCGACCGGCACTCCGCGTGGCTGCGCTCCAGAACTCTCCCGGTCCCGGCGAGGGAGGACCGCCCTGCCCCAGGCCCTGTGGGCTCCCGCCTGGAGCCAGCCCCTTCTGGCTTCCTCTAGGTGACCTGCCGAGTTCCAGCCGGTTTGGCTGGCCCCACGGGGCCGAGATAGCGCGCTCAGGCAGGGGACAGAGATTTGTGGGAAGTCAGAGGCCAGACTCCCAGATCTCGGCGCAGATACYGAAGGCCCAAGGGAACGCCACCACCCGCCCGCCCGTCCAGTTACAGTCCTGGGGTGTTCGCTTTCTCCCACAGCACCCTCCTGGGAGGGTCTGGGGACCCGGTGGCTGCCCCTGTGAGAGGGATCGCCACCTGCTGAGGGTCCGTAGTCATAGATGACCATGGACTTAGAGGTGGGCACCGATCACTTTTCCTTTACCATCCAGCGAGTGGGTACATCCCGCCGCCCCCCTCGCTGCCCAGTGCTGGCAAGACCGCCAGGCACTGGCTGGAGATGCGTGGTCACCCTGGTGCCTAGCCCTCCCGGAGATAGGTCTCCTCCTCCCACCCGCTTGGAGAGCACCCACCTCCACCTGGGTCCGTGCTACCTCTAGTTCAGGATCCTCACCTTTCCCTTTATGGGCCACCTCCCCCACCCTGCCCGGGTTTGTTTAAAATGCTGATCCTTGGACCCCACCCCGGAAAAAATGTGGGATTGTTATTTGAATCTCAGGAAGTGCAGCCTGAAACCTACACGGTGAACTCTTCTCCCAGAGTTTGGGGGGTTTGGTTTGGTTTTGTTGATTTTTGGTGAGAATATCTGTCCTGGGAGGTGACCCTCTTCCAGGGCTAATTTAAGTCTCCTGATGGGAAGAGCCACTGACCCCACTGCAGCTGGAGCGCTCAGCTCTGGGCCCTTGGTGGGAGCCTGATGGGCCAACGGCAAGGTGCCCTGGAGGAGGGAGGGCTTCCTGGAGGAGGTGGCTTCTGAGCTGGGGCTTCAGGGGGTTCTGAGGCAGAGATAGAGAAAGGGTGAGCCAAGGGCAGGGCACTGTGAGACCTAGGCTTGGGGAACTGGGGGTTGAGGGAAAGTCAGGAGTCTAGCAGGTTGAGGGAACCGGAGCTGAAGTCTTTCTCTGGTGTGGTCCCCTGTGTGCATCTTCTATCCCCAAGGGGTCACCAAGAGTCATAGACCTTTGCAGAATTAGGAACATGGTTCTAATGGCAGCCTTAGGGGCTCTTGGAGCAAATTGGACAGATGATAGGGTGGCTTGGTGCATCCCCAGGGTTAACCAAGAATTTCAGGGGACAGGAGCATTTTGCATTTGAATAATAAGAATTGCAATAGGGGGATCAAAGGAACTGGTGTGGGCTGCTGTGGTTTGAAGGGACCCTGGTGGCTTGATGATTTGGGGGTCCTCTGCAGTCTCAGGACTCCTCACAAGCTGTAGACACTGAGGTCTAGGTAGGACCCAGAGTCCTGTGGTGGAATTTGCTGGGGCTACCTGCTCTCAGGGACTACATGTGAGGGTCCTGGCCTTCCTTGGCCCCCAGCCCTAGGGCTTTGGTCCCCATCAGAGTTCTGAAGACCTGCACCTTTTAAAGCCAATCTGCTCTTTGAAGAAGCTGCTACCGGAACTGTTTCCATGGCAATGGATAGTTCCACTGGGCCTGAGACAGGGGGTTCACCCAAAAGGCACCACCCTCTGCAGGGAAGAGGGAACCGCTCCCCCCAGTCAGGTGCACACTGGCTCTAGGGCYTTTGTCGCCTCTTATTCTGCCCAATTTAAAGGCGAGGACACTGAGGCCTGGAGGAGGTCCTCCGTCCTGGACCTCCCTGCCCTCCACCCGATTGATTTTTCTGGCTCGTGCCTGGTTATCAGGCTCAGCTTTGCTCCCAGAAGGCTTGGGGGCTGGAGCTTTGGAGGGAGCATCCGGAGGCCCAGAGTGCCTGTCCCCTGGGGATCAGAGAAGGCTTCGTGGAGGAGGCAGCAAGTGAGAAGTTGGAAGTGCACTCCCCACCAGACCCTCTGCGCTCCCAGGATCTGGTGGGTTCCTGGTGTGATGGGAGAAAGGTCGGGTGGCTAGGAGGGTCCCCAGCTCCTCAAGCAGGAGATATGTCCTTCATCCAGTCTCCTATGTGTCCACACACATCTTGCTGTGTGTCCCAGATGGCTGGTGGTCACTGCTTTATGCCACCTCTCTCTCCCCATCAGTCTAATTCCAGAAAGAACGTTAGATCTTAAGCCACATGAGACAGAAGAGTTGGGCTGGGCTGTGGCTCGGTGGTGGAGCGCTGGCCTAGCGTGTGGGAGGCACTGGGTCTGATTCTGAGCACTGCCTATATATAAATAAATAAATAAATAAAGGTCCCCTGACAACTAAAAAATATTTAAAAAAGAACATATTTCTAAGAGGTGATAGTTTGGAGGGAGGAATTGACTTTAAAGATAGATTTTTTTAACAAAAAAAAGATTACTGAATCAGAAATCTATAGTAAGTTTAAGGGTATTGGTTTATTGTTGCCTAGTAGCCTGTGCAAAAAGGGAAACATGAATTTGTGCAAATAGTCTCTAAAAAGGAGTCAGGCAAAATCTAGAGACAGCTCTTCTGGCCACGAAACCTAGAGTCCTCAAYGCTATGATTCTTTGCATGGTAAGGAAGGAGAGGACTGTCGTGGACAGTATGGTTCACTGGTGCTTATGGAAGCTCCTGAAGCCTTTTTAGAATAAGTATAAAGTAAATTCCAGTGAATTACCCATCTCTTTCTTATCTTTAAGTCCTCCCAAAGCTCTGGGGAAGAAGAAGATCTTATCTGCTGAGAAAACAGGCTCAGAGAGGGTGAGGGACCTGTCCAAGGTCACACAGGAGAGAGTAGCAAACCTACCACTGAGGCTTTGGGAAGCCTAAGCCTGTGGCTCTGCTCCGTTTTGTTTGGGTAGCTGGGGTTCTTGGGGTGCTTTGGAGGAGGAACAGGACTTCAGGAAAGGAGACTCATTTGGGGCCTTTAGGGAGGGTTTCCTGGCAGGGGAGGCTTTCAAGGTCTAGGTGTGTGAAGGAGGGTAGTGAGAACGAGGTTCAGTAAGACTCTGGCTGTGCAGAGCCCTGGATTGCAGGGGTGTCCTGGAGGCCCAGGAGGCGGAGTGGTGTGAACGCCCTGTCACAGGAGGGCCATTTGCCTTTGGCTTGATGACCCTTCTCTTACCCTACCTCCTGGGATTAGAGGTGGCCACAGCTTCCCAATTTGCAGGTGAATAAACAGGTTGACGGCCTCGCCCGCGGCCAGGTGGCCGGTCCATGGAGCTGGGCCAGGAGCCTGGTGGGCAGCAGGCCTGGCGGGAACCGTCCACAGCGGGCTCTGCTCCCTCGGGCTGGTGCTCCGGGACTTCCCGCCTTTCCCTGAGCCTCGGTAGCAGTGGTGGGTCTGGAGGAGCAGGGAAGGCAGGGCTGGCCCCGGTGCGGTGGAAGGCAGGACTCCCAGGACACGACGTCCAGGGAACCATCATGCCTTTGAACTTGAACCTCTGGGTCGCCAGCTCGGCCCCCTCCAGGCTGTCCCCTTCACCCTTGAGCGTTAGAAAGTGGCTCCTTTGGGTGGCCCTGGCTCTGTCTGCAGCACCAGCAGGCTGCCAGCGACTCTCGGGGACAGGGGAGGGCCTGAAGGCCCACCATGATCTCCAGGAAGGGGCAGCCAAGGCTGATGGGTTCAGAAGGTGACAACAGGGGTTGGGGGCCTTGGGGTTGCTGTGCTGGGGACTCCAGGTCCTTCTTTGGCACTGAGCCCTGTGGTGGTGCAGTGACCTCAGTGTGACCTTCCAGGACCTCCCCCCCCCTTCCTCCACCTGGGCCTCACTGCCCGAGGCCCGGGTACCGCTGTCCCCAGCCCCTGCCTCTTGTGGCGTGTGTGTGTGTGTGTGTGTGTGTGTGTGTGCGCGCGTGTGTGTTGGGTTTGGGGATTCAGGTGGTTATATGAGCATAAGAATATATCATCCTTAAAAATAAAAACCTGGACAGAGAAGGCTACAAAGTTGTCCTTGGGTCACCCACCCTTCTCCCTATGGGGACAACTATTTTGGAGGTTTTTTTTTTTYCCCTATGCATTTTTAAAAGCAGTGATGATTTTATTGATTTTACTCTGTGTCCCTTGTTTACTCTGTTCACAGTGTCTTTGAGGTCTCTTTGTGACAGCACATCCCTGTCGCCCTCCTTCTAACCTGTAGGGGATCCCACGTCAACACCACCCACCACCGAAGCCACAGCTCAATTAGCTGGTTCCTGGCTTTCAATTGATGGGCCTATTGTGGGTGTTCTTGTGTGTGTGTGTGTGTGTGTGTGTCTGTGTGTGTTCTGGGGATTGAACTGAGATCCTCATGAATGCCAGGCAGGTGCTCCATCACTGAGTCACATTCTTCGCCGTATTTTACTTATTTTGAGATAATGTCTCACTAACTTGCTGAGGCTGCCCTCAAACTTGTGATCCTCCTGCCTCAGCCTCCCAAGAAACTGGGCTTACGAGCGCCTGAATCCACCCATTGTGTGTGTACTGGGGATTG